TCATGGAAAATGTCTTTCTATGTTGGATTATTTTCTTAGAATGGATTTCTGGAAATAGAATAACTAGGGCAAAGGCTACCAACATATTTACTGTTCCTGATGCATGTTGGCAAATTGCCTTTCATAAAAATTATACCAATTTACCCTCCTGCAACTAACATATAAGAGTGCCTGTTCACAGCATCACCTCTATTCCAAGACATTTTTTGAAGGCTCTGCAAATTGAAAAATGAAAAACAAAATGGTAACTCTTGCCTGGAATAATTTTTAAAACATACACCGAGTAACAGATTCATTTTTAAAAATACCTCAATCCATCAAGAAATTTAAAAGCCTGTATCCACGATGTTTCCTAACCAATCAATGCTACAAAACCATGACGCTTCATCATACATCGTAGACGGCGTTGTTAGAAGACCGGCTGCATTTTGCATGCCTCCGGAAAAGTATACTGAGTCCAGGAAATATTTCATGGAAACAGGGATGACACACTTTTTTTCGCATTTAATTGAAGGCAGCTCGCACTCAGTTCTAAGCACGATTGAATGAGGGCATCTTTACACGTGGAGTTTTGATGACTTCATATGACTAGGCTTGGTGCTCTGCCAAAGAGGGAAGTTAGACGGTGCCCTTGGTATTTGGACAGACATTCTGTGTTGAAGGACGAAAACAAGAAATGTTTGAGAATTTGGTTTAAAACAGTCTTTTTGAGATTTAGCCATAAGAGAACACTCAACCACACAACCGGGAGAAAGCATCCAGGAGACTATTGAAAGGGGCAAAAAAAAAAAAAAAAAGAAAAGAAAAGAATAGCAACAAGCCCAGAAAACAAAGGGAAAAGCTTCTCCTGCTGGAGGACCTGCCAAAGACCACCCTGAGGTCATTGAAAAGCACCTTTGTGCTCTGCCCTCTAAGGGTCAAAAAGGAAAAGTTTGGTCAACAAACGCTGCTTTTGTTTAAATGTGCATTATTCCCTCAGGCTGCTTGTTTTCCACGTTAATGAAGTCCGTCTTATTCCTTGACATTTTTTGCCGGGCACTTAAGTTCCCTCAGAGTCCACGAACAACCAAACCTAAAAGATCTCGAAATAGTTCTAAGAACCGAAGGTGGAATTTTGTGGAAAGGGAAACAAGCAATCGCTCTTTGAAGAATTTCAACATACAAATTAGCACCCAGAATATCTCCATTTATAGGACCCTAATCATTTATACTTCCATCAGCAATTGCCGGCAGTCTCGAAAAGGTACTCCTGCACCACTGATTATTCAAAACCAAAAAGGAGGAAAAAAAAAAAAAAAAAGAAGACAAGAAAGAAGAGCAAGTACCCCCACGGCAAAGAAGCATGCTCCCCCGCCCCAAATCCTCATTTCCCTTAACTGCCGGATTTGTTCAAACTGAGCATGCCCTCTGGGACATGGCATGTTTCACTGTAAGAATATTCCTCCTCACTATAGTGATCCGGCGCCCTGCTTAATGAAGTGTTCCCTAAATTAAATCTACCCTTTCCGAAAGGTTACTCCCCAAACAAAATGAACAGGAAAATGCCTCCGGTCCGTATAAATGTCATCCTGCCCTCCAGTAAATCTGTTTTAATCACTACTTTTAAGGAAGCGGCCCCGTTGAATAGGAGGGAATTCAATTACTCTGTGTACCAAGACAACTGTCAGAGGGGGTCACACATAGTGCCTGTCAGAGGAGGCATCCTCTAGAAGAGGAAAGACACACTGTTCTGCACAGGATTTCTTTCTTAGAGCACTGCCTCCTCCTGGGGAACAGAGGGAAGACAACCAGTGCCAATGGAGGGCTCACTGCACCTCAGCGCGCTCTGCATGTATTTTTCACAAATCCCTTACCACAAGATCCTTAAAGAACTCCTTTCCCTTCTCTTTATAGAAATGGAAATGGGGTCCCAGAAGGATAGAGTCCACTTCAAGGTCACCAGGCCAACAAGAGAAGAGATGAGACTTGCACCCAATTCTGTATAATTCCAAAGGTTTCGCTCTGGCTCAGAGACACCAGCTCTGTTTCCCCTTGAGCTTGATAAGCCCATTTAAAAGAAATAGTCAGTGTGGGAGGATGAATCAGTCAAATTACTCTTAATAGCAGAGTTGGGCAAAGCCTGCTTCCCTGACACTTGGAAGTACATTCTTCAGCAGAATTCCTGGTGTCTGCAGGACGCCAATGAACCAGCAGAGACAAGAGTCAGGCCAAACCCAGGACAAAGGCTTGCTGATCCCAAACCAACTTTTATTTTATTTTTTTAAAAGATTTTATTTATTTACCTGACAGAGAGAGACACAGCGAGAGAGGGAACACAAGCAGGGGGAGTGGGAGAGGGAGAAGCAGGCTTCCCGCTGAGCAGGGAGCCCGATGCGGGGCTCGATTCCAGGACCCTGGGATCACGACCTGAGCCGAAGGCAGACACTTAACAACTGAGCCACCCGGGCGCCCCCGAAACCAACTTTTAAACGTCAACCAAACAGGATTACAAGTGACCACTCCAGAGACATTTTGGTTGGGAAATTACAAACAGCAGGTACCCCTTGATGCAGATTCCAAACAAGCGTGTGCCTTGGACTGGGTTTCAGCAAAGGCGTTCATATGCTTTGCAAAGCTAATGTGCAGAGGCAGCCTTCAGTGCTTATGTTTTTTGGAATTAAGTTGCATGACTGTGCCTTGCTCTCTAAAATGTGTAAATGTGTAAATTATGCTAAAACAGATTGCCAATGCAAGTTGAAGAAATGAAAAATATGGTGCACTCTCACGGTAAGGGTGCAGGGGTGTGGTTTGCCGCCTGATGTGAAAGACAGCTTCCAACTCTCCATTCTTGGAGGCTCTGGAAGGTATTATTAGAAGGGAGTGAAATGCAAAGTAGCTGGATGGCTTTTTCAAGGGCCCAGCATTTGACACAGGATCTCTTCAACTGGCATAAAAGACGTTATGTAAATTATGTGTTTATATAGGCCCTATTTCCAGGTCCTATAGAATGTCCCCAATTCCCCATATCCTAATAGAAATATCATTGTCACATGCCAGGTCTTGATCCCTAGTGTGCTAGAGAATATAAAGATAAGGAAATGCCCCCACCACATCACTAACTCCAGTGCTGTGTTTGTGTGTGTGTGTGTGTGTGTGTGCACTCTTGTTACTGTGAATGTTGCCTCAGTTATTGTGATGAGGATACCAATCTCATCTATGATAATGCCATGAAGTCATAGATAAAGAGCCCCTTCCTTCAAGGAAATGAGAGGAAACACACCCTCCAATATTTCATAGGTTAGGAAGAGAATGCCAATCATTTTTGTAGCATGAGACTCTCTCATGAAATGAAGAAGTGATATGAAAATTGTTTGGGGCCAATAATGACTTTGTGAGTCTCATGACCAAAGACATTGCCTGTGACTGATGAGTCATACTGCTAAAAGAGCCCTTTCATTGGAAAAATAAAAACACCAGTGACTTCTCAAGATCACACAGTGAGTCTGCTAGAATACACCCTGACCTCTTACTAAGCCCTGTCCCATAATCTTCTCAATACAAATTATTAGAGATTCAACAAAATCATTTTGCAAATTGAGCCAGACTCTGTTTTCTCAGCTTCCAAAAATGCTTCAAGAATTAGCAATGACTCTAGTTTTAGATGAAATGGATAATCAACATTGCAAATTTTCCTAAAGGTCATAAGTTGTACAATGAAAGGGAAGAAATTTAGATACTATATTTATAGGTAGGTCCCTATATCTTAGTCAAGAAGCAGAAACATGAATCTGTAGAAACCCGGTGACGTTTGCAGCCAGTTTAATTGGCAGGAAGATCTGGAATCGGAATGCTGAAAATAGTGATGTCTAATTGTGCACCAAGTTTTCAGTTGGTGTTCAGGAACCTTCCAGATTTGCAATTTCCATCCCCTTGTTTCTCCCTCCCTCCCTTTGCTATTGTTCCCTCTCATTTCCTTTTATCTGCCATCGTGAGAAAGAGATAAGGTGCTGGAGGTGACATCTCCGAATTGGCAGTGCCCTGAAGATATTTTCTCCTTCTAGTCTTAATATGGAGCACTGTCTATATTGTGAAGTATAATAATGGATTCATGAATTTCACCTATACTTCTAGTTAAAATCCTAAGATAGTTGGACCCTACAAAGAAGAGGGACAGGCATGTTTGCATCAATGACTTTGGACCTTACATGGTCATGAACACTTGAATCAAAATGTCCCATTGATTTCTCACAGATATCATACCAAGCAAGCAGAGGTATTCCCAGTGTTTATATCAGAAAACAGCATCTCCTTGTATACACACAAGATCCTCAGGTTTGTGCAGGAATTCTACTGGTTGAGCTAGAGGGGCCCAAGATCAAGCACATAAGGAAGACCTATGACATCTGGTCTACCATCTGGCATTATGCTTGCCTATCTTAGCCAGTGTTTGGTATCCAAGGATTAGTGACTAATTTCAAGGTACTGGAAATTATCTAGAAACCTTAATAGAATCTCCAAGAGAATTTGATCTTAAGCTACCATCACTTACAAAGAAATATAATTACTGTCTGAAATACTCTGTCTCACAGTTATTCTGTGAGTCTCCTGAGATGGGAGTATACTTTTTATCTTTAAAATTTTTAAATCTTTAAAATGTTATCTTTAAAAAAAATTTATATTGTCATCACCTTGCACACTGCTTGGCATTCATATGCATCTAACAAATATTAGATAAATAAATAGATGAAGCAAAAATCAATCAGACACAAAGAGACTAGTTTTTATAGGAAGGATTTAGACCTCTGATCATTTGAAACAGTCCTCTGCTCTGTTCCTGCTTATTTTCTCAAATGATTTTTGCATCTGTACATCCTAAGTATAGTTTAGTTCATTCAACCTTTCAATTTAAATATCCAAATTAAATCTCCAAGGACTATCACAAAAGTTAATATATTTATTGAGAAGGATGTCCTGCAAGTTATTGTAGAATTTTATTTGGATTGAAGGTAGATAACTATAAATAACTACTGGAAGTAATTTTATTAAGCTCTGAAGCACATACTGTGTGGCAGATGTCATCCTGAGCATTTTCCTATATATCATTTAATCATCCCTTAGCTACGCACGTAATGTCAACCCTATTCCACCTCCTGACGTCTACTCCAGAATGAAGGGCCACATCCAAGGTCATTCAGATACTGAGGGAACTAGAATTTGAATCCATGTGTGTCATTCTTTGTGACCGCATATCAATATAAAAATGAAATATCATTTTAAAAATAACTCAAGATTCTTGAGGATCAATCATGAGTGTACCGTATTTACCCAGCCGCTCTGTCAAAGAATGCCATTTATCAAGAAACTACTTTACAAGAACTTTAACAATTTAGCTTCTCGAGTGATTGATTTCAGAGTTGACTCTCATTAGATTCTTACAGGCTATGTTTAGCAAAATGGATTATGTAATCCATTTTTTTGAACTGAATTTTTATTATCAAATATATTTTCTAGTCAACTAGTCATGATTGAACTTTTTGATGGCTCCAACTTCAAAACTACATCTTACATAATTCTGAAATCCGGCACTAAAAATATGTTGAGAAACATAAATTAGCATTTCTAGAAGGAAGAATGATGTGCATTATTCAAGTGTTCTCCAGAAGACAGTGAAGTGTAGGGCCTAATGTGGTATAATCACTCTGACACTTCACCAACGTAGGCTTGCAAAGTCCATTTATGTCTTCAAGCCTCAGTTTTCCCGCCCATAAACTGGGGATAACAAAACACAATCTTTTCAAATTGCTTATCAAATTTGCCACGCGGGCACAGAGGGAGCAGCTGTGAAAAGGTTTTGTGAAACTCCAAGGTGAAGGCAAGCTCAAAAGGAAGTCATGGTGCCCTGGGTCCAATCTGCTTCCCACAGTGGCAGGAGCAGGCCAAATATTGACTGGAAAAACGGTCACCAGCACTTGGTAGAGAACCGATGCACGCCCGTCAGTAATTTTGAAGGAGTTCGTCTAGGTAATGCTGCCAGTATTGATCCATCATTTGTTATGAATTTATTGTTTTCAACTGTTGTGGCCACTGGTCTTCTCAACCTGAGAAAGTTACAGAATCTTTATTGAAAACTATTACAGTTATTAACATCATCATAATTACCTTATAGTGATTAAGATGATCATAATTATATTTTCAGTCTGTCTTCTGTTTAAAACACAGTCTACGTGGGAGAGGAGCCCCCACGGTGCCTTTGCAACAGTCAGGAGTGCACCATCCTACCCTGGCATACTTCCAGCCAGGGTAATTGCATTCTGCTCACCAAAAACTCCCTGTACTTTTCCCTAGAGAAGGTCTCCCTCATTTCCTGTTCAAAACCAGCTGTGCGATGGGGCTGGCTAGCAGCTGCCATGTCGCTACCCGGAGGTGGCTGTGTTTCAACACAGATAGGAACAAGGCTTGGATGTTTCTGTGGCCAAGGCACCAGAGGAAACCAGGGGAGTATTCGGGCATTTTCTCTTGCTGTAAAAACAAAACAAAAAACAAAACAAAACAAAAAAAAACTTCTCAATAACACTTACCAGTAGATGTTATAATTTAGGGGTGGTGGGAAGAAGGAAACATGGCTTTATTTTTGCATGTATTGTAAAGTAAAAAAAGCTCTTCATTACATAAGATCATGTACCTCCAGCTGCCACATCTCCAATCAGGGAACGAACAGTCTATTTTATTTTAACTGTTCATAGTTAAAGATGACCTATTGTGCCTCTTAATTAATTACTGAGTTTCTTGTAAGATTCTCTAGTTTAGAGCTAAGGTTGATACAAAATCTGGACCTCTTTCTGAACTGTGATCTTGCAGATGTATTTTTGAATAAGAACATGATTCTGTTTACATGATGTTTAGTGAAAGGGACGACGTGGATGTTTGTGGCTTCATGTGGGCCTCCCATAAAACCCCATGCAGAAGATGAAACATGACACCCGCTTTGTAATCTATCCAAGACTCCTACCCAGAGTCCATACGTTTCATATGTATGTAATCAACTTTTATTGGTTCTTGAATTACATTCTGCTAGCACAGAACTCCCCTTTGCCAATTTGAACACAATAACAGAGCTTGGAAGTGTCATTAATAAAAGGCAGTGTGGCTTGAGCACAGTGAAACATTTATAAAAACTCTTACTCGTATCAAGGCTTCTTTTGGTGGAAGCAAAGCTTTAGAAAAAATACTTCACAGAAAAATAAGCCACCAAAATTAGAACCCCCATAGACTAAAAAGTCAGCAAGTGTTGATTCATTTGTTCCGCCTTTGCAAAGTGCTTCCTGTCTCAAAGGCAGAGTTGAAATATACATGACCTGGATCTGGCCATAAGGAACTCACACAAGGTGAACCAGCCCTAGCAGGCGAAAGATAGTGGAGTGTTATCATGTGAGAGAAAAGCATGTGGCTACAGAGGAATATTTCTAGAAGCAGCTAGATACATCATGGTCCAAGACCAGAAATTGCCATTCACCTTGCAAACTCAGGAACTCTATCAGGCTAGAGGAGACAACTCATCGCTTATATCTGGACTCCTACTAACCAAGCTCAAAAAGCTAGATGTATAGCTACCAAAATGTTAATTGAATCAGTTTCAGTGAAAAATTGACCTGACAGTGACAAAATCCTCATGTTGACCAAAATATTTACTCTCCATAGGCAGCTAGACCAAGAAAGTCACTGAAGCTCAAAGGCTGCTAGGTGAGCATGGCTGTGGGGTGGAGGCAGTGAGTAGGTGGTTCTGACATCTGGCCAGGCCAGCCTCACACCTGTATCACCACCAAGAAAAGCTCTTGGCCAAGGAGTGCTTTTGCTGGGACAGTTCTTATGGGCACCACCAGGTCTAGTTGGCTGACTTCGCAGTTCTGTGTCTTGGGCTGTTCACCCGCCAGCTAATCACGAAAGCTTTTTCCTGATAAACATTACAAAGGCCACCAGGAACCCACTCCCTAAATGCTAACTTCATTCCAGCCCTAATTCTCAGACATTATTGCTGATTCCTTGATTTGGGTTTGAGCCATGCCCCAGCTCCAATGCATATTTATGGTTTGCTGGGTTTGTGCCCACAGACAGCTACTCTACCCATTGTATGTAGATATCATTTTAATTCTCAGAGGCAAATCTTGATCCCAGGATTAGGGAGCCCTGTGATCTCTGGAAAAAAAAACTAAATTTCTGTGTAACCTGAACCTCTTCCATGACAGAAAACCCACAAGCACACACGCTTGTGCCTGTAGTGTTCTTCATTATGTCCCATTGGGTCTGGCTCTTCATTCTTGGTCCTGCACATAGAATTTCTAGGGCATTCACACCACCTTGGCTTGTCTTTCACCTTTGACAATTTCATTGCGTGGTCTTTCCTCCATACATTTCTTGCATCTGCCTCTTCTTCGCTGTCCCATTGCTGTCATTATGAATCAGTTCCTGGCTACTTCCAGACTGACCTTCCATAAACATCGTATTGCTGCGGGATCAAGCCTCCACACCACACACAACTCTGCACTGTACCCCAAACCCTGCGGGGGGTCGGGGGGGTGTTGTCCTCAGCCTGACTCAAAGACACCGTCATCCGACCACTAGCTGCATGTGGCCAACAGAACACATTGTGCAGTATCTGAGCTGAGGATCAGGATTCTAGGAGCTTGACAAAGCCATTTCAATGCTCTGAACTTCTGTTCTTTAACGCTAAGCTAGAAAAACCAGTGCCTCTCTCCTAGAGTGGTTAAGAGAACCTCAGGAATGAGATCCCGTAGCTGCACTGTACTTTGCATACCTTTCCCTGTCTTCCATCACTCACTTCCCAGCTTACACGCCATTTCTAGGGCAGACTGGGGCCAGCCCTTCCTCCCTGCCTGTGGGAATATTTCAGAGTCCAGACCTGTCACCAGTCCACTCCTACCATCTCTCCTGCATTTAGGTGAATTGGAGTGAATCCCATGCCTTTAAGAAGGATCAGAAAAAGCAAAATCATGTTAGTCAAGGAGATTAATGACAAACCATGGCAGCCCTAAAATTCTGGAGAAATCTGGCCTTTATTCTGTAGGCAATGGGGACCCTGTAAAGTTTGAAGGATAAGTAATATCAATATATTATGGTACCTTCTAAGGATTATCTGTCCCTTAAAAAATGGAGATACAAATAATAAATAAATAAATAAATTCAAGAGACATGTACAGCTCTGGAAATTGTCCTGGGCATGCTAAAGAGACAATGCTGGCTCAGGATACCACCCACCACTGCTCAAATCCTCCAGCCAGACCCCTACTATAACTAAGATTAAAGTGAGTGAGAGTCAAATTCTTTCCGACCTCCCCTTCTAGTTCTTTCTCCTCTTTCCCTGCTTCCTATTTGCACAGTGCTTTGCTATTTACAGAGAAATGTATTCTTATCTGCCATTTTTATTTGTTTCTCACTCTTTGAAGTAAATGAGACAGGTGTGATACCCCTAATTTAGAGACTATGAAATCAAAGTTCAGACAAGCCTAGTAACTTGTCTAAGGTCATGCAGTTGGTAAATGAAGATTTATGACCTGAACTTCTGTCTTCTTGCCCTAAGATTCGTGGTCTTCCTTCAACAAGAGTGCTTTTATCACCTTGCACACAGCTGACCACAAATGTTCCACATTTTAAGCTCTCTGACAACGGACAAATTTAGGACAAATCCCAAAACACTGAAAGAAAATAAAGCAATGTTTTTATTTAATTGATTTAATAGATATAGTAATGTATTTCTATGTAACTCACAAATTCATCTTGTCTTCCTTTTTGAAGGAAGATACAGAAACCACTTTTTTTTCTGGAACAACTCTTGAATTCCCAACATTTCATACCCAGAACCTCCATATATCTGTATGGCAGGAACACAAGCATTCTCTCCGAAACATTCTGGCTTGAAGAGTTAATATCAATCTTCTTTCCAAGATGAGATCTCAATGGCAAATGGACATGAGGTTGCCAGCAGAACTATCTCACCACGAGAATGGGCTTCTTCAGAATAATTACCATTCATTTACTACATTAAGATCCTTTTTATGACTTTTCCGCATTGTTGCACCATGTCCTGGCTTTTATTCTGAAAAGCGATTTTCCATCCGTGCTAAGGATACTTCATTAAGAATGCATGACATAACCCTACATCAAAAACTAATGATGTAATGTAGGGTGATTAACATAACAATAAAATTAAAAAAACAAAAGAATGCATGACATACCTCATCCCTCCTTACACTGGGATTCTCTGAAACTTCCACTGGAACCCATGATTGGAATCCAGAGGACTCACCATTGCTTTCTCATCTGGAGGGCAAAAAGGACTGGGGGAAATGGAAGAGAAGAAAGATTTATCAAGTCTTTGGGGCAAACTTCACATGGAAGCAGGATTTTTAGTCAAAGTGACACCAAATTTCTTATTATCCCTTTACTTCCAAGATGGCAAAACAATTTCAGGGAGAAGTAATTTGCACCAAATCATGAGGCTCGTCAGTGGCAGTTGGGGACATCAATTCCTGCATGTTTTTCCTCAGGTCAGAAGTCCCAGATGGCTCTTTCACTTGTTGTCTTGTTGTTTCTAACAGGTGATGGTCATGTACCCCTAAAATACTCTCCACCTCATTGTCCCTTCCTCCTAGAATGTACTTTCCCCTTTATGTAGCTTACTCTCTTTGGTCAGGTCAATGCTCAAGTGCCACCTCCTCAGAGACACCTTCACTGATCATAACTTTCTGAAATAGATTCTCTCCTCACTGTATCTCCCCTTACCCTGCTTTACACTCCTCTGTAGACCCTTTTGACACCTGAAAATGTATTTTAAACTTGTTTGTTACTTCTTGGCTCTATCCACAAGTAAACTCCGCAGTAGGAAAGATTTTTACATAAAATAGGTACTCAGTATTTGACCAATGAGGGTTGCAGGGTTGGGTGGTTGGATAGAGGGTGTCCTGTGGCAAAATTGCAAGAATCACATGATCTTATTTGACTCATGAAAAACACTTAAAAATAGGAAGCCTCTGTTTGATTTACTTTGGTTTCCCCACAACATTCTTGCAAAGCAGGTACTTAAAAATATTTATCTATGTCCAGGAAGAGTAGCTTTGGGTTTCCAGCCATGTGTCTTGTTGAATCTCTCTGTGGCCCCCCAGAAGCTCAGCTGCCTTGCAAAAGCCAAAGCATCTTGGCACCAGCAACTGTGGCTCTCCAAATGCCAAAGCCCCTCCAAAATTCCCTAAGGATTTGCTCTGTCTCTTAATGAGCAGGAGAATACTATTCTACTGGTGATAGCAAGGGCTAGTAAGTACAAAGAGGAGCCCAAAGCCAAATTAGGAGTGCAGACATAGCAAAAGGAGTATTGAGCATGAAGTGGGAGGGTTGGCTCTCAAAATGCCAGTGGTCCGGCTGGTTCTTCGGAAGGGGAAGGTGGAAGACAATTGGGAATGGCTCACTGATGGGATGACATAGTCTTCCTCTCTTCTGTTTTGCCTACATCCCCATATGTACTTAATGGCCTGTAAGTCACCATGAAACGTTGGCAAGTCTGCTACTGACTTGCAACAAATATCAGAAAACCTTTATTTTGACTTGGGTCTGCCTTGGCTCATGCCCGCTTACTGAGCCTACTTCTCCATCTGCAAAATGGCCATAATCATTCTTGCCCCATCCAAATGAGAAGTGTGGGGAACAGGGGAGCTGGCTTGCCTAAATACCTCTGAGGTCATGAAGTCCTACACAAATACACAGCCCCACTTATCCGCCACAAAATCTCACTAAACAGTGTCTTGCTTTGTTTGGTTTAGTTGTTCGGGACGAAATGTTTATCCTGATCTTGCGTTCTGAGAGCTCACAGGAATTTTAAATTTAATTTGATTTCTCTGATTCTGGCTTTCCCTCGACTTCCCATTTCAAGAGCGAAACTAAAGGAGGATCTATTTCTCTTTGCTTTCAGGTTCTAACAACGGTCTTTTTTTTTTTTTTTTTTTGCATTCTGATTGCAAGCACAGCCTAACAAAGCCATATTTAAACGCAGAGAAATGTCACTTACATGTTAAAAAGCTCACAGAAGCAAGTCTGTCTCTGCTGAATCTTTGAAGATGCTATTTAATAAAACCGAGGGATCTTTCTGACGCTGTCCAACAAAACCTCTGGTAGATTTGTTCTGTGCATATTTTTGACGGTAGTGATAAAAAGGTGCGGGAGGGAGAGGCAGGGTGCATCACAACAATCATTTTTCATTACAGTCAGATATCCTCCAGCTTCAGTGCAACAGAGTCGATCCGCAAAGATTGGGTATTAATTATGAAGGTGCACTTCAATTTATCAGCAAAGGATATCAAACAGGCCAAACGCCACAGCCTCTCATATAATTTATCTCTTCCTTGTAGGGAGGCAGATAGCAACGATTTGCAAATTGCCTCCTCTGCAAAAAGAAGGGAGAAAAACATACACACACAACACACAATTAAAAGCAGATAAGCATCAGGCGATGTGTCACATTTTCAGCAGAAAGCCAAAAGTGGAGGTCTTAATCTCCGGGGTTGGTTTGCTTCGAGTATTCACTGGTACTTCCCTTGATGTGACTACTTAACTCCTATTAAAATTAATAGGGGTCAGGCTTGATCATCAAGGGAGAGAGGGCCTCCTGGCGCGTATAGGCTTCAAGTAATAAGGATTTGGTGATTACTATATTATTTGTCTGTTCATTTTCAGATTATCTTGTAAGTGTATGCTCTTTGTGATCTTTGGTCCAATTATAAAGAATAACATGTCGTGTAGGATCTATTTTTATTAAAGCAGCTTTCTTAAGAAGCATATAATTTGAGAGGGCATATTGATAGGATCTTAATGCAGAGAGCTCAAAACTTACTTTCCCCACAAAGAAATTGTGTTAGTTACTGTCTCTAACCTAGGCGTACTTTTGTGGGAACCTAGGCCCAAAGTTTTGAAGAGTATCTGTTCATAGAAAAACCCAACTCACACATTTCCTGGGTGGTAGAAGGAGAGGGTAAGTTTGCTCCAACCTGTGATCTGAACTTGGAGTCAAATGCAAAATCCATGGCAACAATAGTTACCAAACTTCTTTGAGACTCCATTTACTCTTCTATTAAATGGGTATAAAATCACCAGCCTCAACGTTGTATTAAAAGAAAAGACCATGTTTGAGCATAGGGTGTCATATATAAGTGATAAATCACATTGATTTCTACTCCTGAAACCAATATTGCACTGTATGTTCACTCACTAAAATTTAAATTAAAAAAAAAGCTTATTTTGACAATTGCAACTCTCATACATAGCTGGCAGAATTATAAAATGGTAGAACCACTTTAGAAAGCTGTTTGGCAGCTTCTTATAAAGTTCAATGTGCAACCTATCCTACGAAGTGGCAATTCTACTCCTAGATATTTACTGAAAATTAAAAATATATATTCAAAAAAGAAAAAAAAAGACCACGTTAAACTCTTTTTAAAAGATTTTATTTATTTATTTGAGAGAGAGAGGGAGCATGAGCAGGGGGAGGGGCAGAGGGAGAGGAAGGAACAAACTCCCCGCTGAACAGGGAGCCCAACATGGGGTTTGATCCCAGGACCCCAGGATCATGATCTGAGCCAAAGGCAGACGCTTAACCGACTGAGCCACCCAGGCGCCCCCCCAAAAAAGACCATGTTTATAAAAGCACCTGGAATGAAGAGCCCTGGCAAACATGACAGAAGTTACCCAATATCACAGTTTCTGATATGTGCATGGAAGAAGATCAAGGAGAATCAAAGAGTCAGAATCCATTTGCAGTTTTCTCAAGTATTGCCAACTTTGAATTTTGTGCATTAAAGAAATGAGAATAACAAAAACAATGAACATAAATAACACTGGCAGCATCTGTTTGTAGAAGGGACATTTTAAAGTACAGCGACAAATAAGGCATTCCTTTGAAGCCAAGAAGTTTGCTGTCATGAAAAATCATGCTGCACACCTCTCGTCCTCGCTTTGCTGCAGATGGTGAAAGCCACCTCTCCAACCACCTCCGATCTACAGGTAAGCATTCGGGAGCCACTGAGATAAGCCACGAGGGCAGCTGAGTGCCATGAGTAGGATCAGTCACTCACAGAGAACGTAATGATTAAGGAAGAAGTGGTGAGATGGAGCCTTTTTAAACTTTTATCTGCTGAAAAACAATGCTGTGCTCTGACCTATGGAATGAGAGAAAAAGAGTTGCAAAACTTTTATCTGATGAGTGGTTAATATCCAACATGTGTACAAAACTCATAAAACTCAACAGAAAAAAAAAATTACCTGATAAAAAATGGACAGAGGACTTGAATAGACATTTCTCCAAAGAAGACACACAAATGACCAACAGGTACATGAAAAGGTGCTCAACATCACTCATCATCAGGAAATGCAAATCAAAACCACAAGAATTCACTTATCATGATGAGCATTAAGTAATGTATGAAATTGTTGAATCACTATATTGTACACCTGAAACTAATATCGTACTGTATGTTAACTATACTGATATTAAAATTTAAAAAAAAGGTAAAGGAAGAAAACACATTGAGATATCACCTCACACTTGTAAGGATAGCTGTTGTACTCCTGAAACTAACGTAATATTGTACGTCTACTATACTGTTATGGAGGCTACCCCCAAAAATTAAAAATAGAGCTACCATATGAGCCTGCAATTTCACTTCTAAGAATACATCCAGAGAAAGTGAAATCAGTATTTCAAAGAGATGCCTGCACCCCCATGTTTATTACAACATTATTCACAATTATCAAGCCATGAAAACTATCTAAATGCCTATTTAGAAGAGAAAGAAGGAAGTCCTGCCATTTGCAACAACATGGATGAACCTTGAGGACCTTCCTAAGTGAATGAAGTCAGATAGAGAAAGAAAAATACTGTGTGATCTCACTTAACGACCCTGTGGTCGCCAGGGGCTGAGGGCTAGGGGAGAGAGGGGAATATTAGTCAAATGGTATAGACTTCAGTTATGATATGAATAGATCCTGGGAATCTAAGGCATACCATGGTGACTCTAGTTAACAAAACTATATTGTATGTTTGAAAGTTGCCATGAGAATAGAGATTTAATGTTCTCACCATAACAACACCAACAACAAAATAGTAATTATGAGGTAAAGATGTGTTAACTAACCTTATTTTGGTATATATTGTGCAAGATATACATGTATCAAATCATCACACCATATAACTTAAACTAACACAATGCTATATGTCAATTATATCTCAGTAAAGCTGGAAAAAAAATATTGCAAATTTTGAGAAAAAATCAAATCCCCAGATCCCTTCTAAAAAGTGTTGTGCATATATACTGTTAAACAAGAGTATTCCTACTTATATTAC